CTTGGTTAGAACATGGTGCTAATAATGCCAAGGCTACAGGTTCAATCTCAATAGGGGCCATTTGCTTAAGAGTTGGACCTGATGATCCTTCAGGGTCCCTTCCAACTTGGAATATTCTGTGACCCGTTGTTGTACCCACCCCTAAGGGACAACCACCCCTCACTGAGTAAGATGGATGACTAACGTCACTCAAGTTCCACCTAAATATAAAGAAATAGCATAAAAATGAGTTACAAATGGGGAGGAAAGGAGAGACTCCACTGTTACCTCTGAGGTCACTCACCGGGCTGAACCTGTCTCTGCCCCATAGGGGCCCATTGCATAAGAACTGTACTCTGTGTGCTGAAGGATTGTCTCGAGTCAACTTTTATTGGGAATTAGAGATTGTCAGTGTATTGCTTTGAATTAGGGAATCCTGGAACCTTAACCTGTCCCAATTTTATTAAGTGTTACTCTGTAAACTCTTACTGTGAGTCCTTCACGGGTGCTGGCACTCGCTGGCAGTGGGTGAAGGTGCAGAGCTGGGTGGGGTTTTTGTGTTTGGGTGTGACCCTGAATAGTTCAGTCAAACCCCCTTTGACCCAGTGGACTGTTCAGTGAAGGATCCCCATAATGGGATGGGACAGACTGGTTGGGCATGAGGCTCTCAACCTTCCTGAGGCATTGACAGACCAATCAAACACCAAGGGTTTGAGGAAATCTCCCTTATCATGTGACAGGGGTACAGTGTGTCCCACAGGATCAGAGAGAGTCCATCCAGGCAGCACCAACCAAGTCTGGAAAGGGAAGGTGGGCAAGTGTAAGAGAAATTGTGGGCAAATGTTAAGGATTCTCAGGAATGGGGAGCAAAGCCAGACACTGGGAGAACTGGACTGTGGCCACTCCAGAGTGCAAGCAAAGCCAAGAGGAGAAAGAGTGAGAGAGAGGGAGAGAGGCTCTGGAGATCATGGACTTGCAAGGCCTTTGGAAGTTTCCTTGGCTTCTACTGAAGCCACAGAAATGTTGCCACTCAGGATATTCCCTCATTCAGACATGCCGACAAAGTGGGAAAGAACATTTCCTGGCAATGTCAGCCCTCCCATGAGGTGGCCAAAGCTGTGCAGGACAGGCTGATGTGCATAATTGTTCCTCCAGGTGCGGACAAGAGGAGACTCAGCAGGACCACCTGGAATGCAGCGGTGGGCACGGCAAACACGGAGGCAGTAAATGCTGTTACTGCCTGGCTTGTTTATATCAAAGACTTCATTTTGGCTGTGTCCATCGGTCTGACTATTTTCATATTTGTTCACAAGGTGCTCCCTGCGTGGGTACAGGGTGCACAAGACAGAGTGAGTTGGTGGGCCTGGGGGGAGTTGCCAAACTGGTATTGGATGGCTGCTATCAGCTAGAGCAGCCATGGGGTTTTCCGAGCTAAGGTGCTCTGGGTGCCCAGTTTGCCACTGCCCAAACTCAGTAGAGATTTGTGCTGTGAGCTGGTGCCCCAGAGCCCAGAGCTCTCTGTGCCCACAGCTCCCCTGTGCAGCCGGGTGCCCACACCCCTCGGGGCACCCAGTGCTGCTCCGCACCCTCACACCCACCCTGCACCCCCGGCCGTGGTCGGGCCTCAGCAGCTTCCTCTCTCCACAGGCGCCTCGCAGCTTCGAGAGCCGGCTCTGAGCGCCCCAACAGCCGGGCAGAAGCCAGCAGAATATTTGCAGGAGCGTTTAAATAAAGATCAGCAGCACAATCAACTGGGTTGTACCAGCAGCAAACCCAGGATGGGGCCCACCCCCAGCACCCCTCAGTCCCAACCCTTGGCCCCCCAGGGACACAAACCCAGGCCCGCTGTGGAGTCATAAAGCCATCTCCAAACCTGGAATCCCCTCCAGGGACATCCCCTCCAGACCCAGCATGGTCTGAGAACACGAGTTCCACCCCCAGTCCCACCGTGGGGTTCCATCCCAGGTACCATGGGGGTCCCCATAGCCTCCAGGGCCATCAGCCTCATCCCTGTCCCAAACACCTCTGAGGACATCAATTCCAGCCCCATCCCAGGTCTCAAACACCCCCAGGGCTGTCAGCCCCCCCTCAGCTCCCCATTCCGAGTTCCTGATTCCCTTTGGGATCATCAGTCCTAGACCCAGTGACATCAGAGGAGCCCATTCGCACCCCTGGTCCCATTGTCCCCAGACACAGCAGCCCCCCATCCCTGGGCACCAGCCCCCACTGGAGACATCAATGCCAGCCCTGTTACAGGGTCCTGTTCCCACCCCAGGTCCCCAACACCCCTAGGGACAGGAACCCTCCTGTCCCTCATCTCCAGTTTCATCCCAGGTCCACCATCACCCCCGTGGAGAGACCCACCACTGGCCAAGGCTGAGCTCAGCAGTGACCCTCCTTCCCATGCTCAACTTCAATCCCGATTCTCTCCCTGCTCCCCTCCATGGGCACAGGGAGACGGGAATGTGGGTCACAGTCAGTTCATTCCATGGTTCTCCCTTGAGGAGAGGAGTCCTTGTCCTGATCCAGTGTGAGTCCTTCCCATAGGACACAATCCCTGCTCCACCATGAGTTCTTCCCACGAGGTCAGTCCCTCGGGAACTGCTCCAATCTGGATCCCCACGGGGTCACAGGTTGTGCCAGCAAACCTGCCCCAGCATGGGCTCCTCCCTCCATGGGACACAAATCCCTGCCAGGACCCTGCTCCAGCACAGGTTTCCTATGGGGTCACAGCCTCCTGCAGCATCCCCCTTCTCCACTGGGGGCTCTTCCAAGGGCTGTAGGTGGGTCTGTGCTCCCCCTTGGGCCCCCACAGGCTGCCAGGGAATCGAGCTCTAGTGCCTGGATCCCCTCCTGCAGTGGCCTGGGGCTGCCAGGTTGTTTCCCTCACACATTCAAATTCCTCTCTTCTCTGCCCCAATTCCTTCTGCCCATAAGTTTTTCCTCCCTTGTAACTCCACATCCCTGAGGTGTTGCTGCCATCACTGCTGGGCTCAGCCTTGGCCAGTGGTGGGTCTCTCCATATAGGTGTTGGTGGACCTGAGATGGGACTGGGCATGAGGGACAGGAGGGTTCATGTCCCTAGGGGTGTTGGGGACGTGGGGTGGGAAAAGGACCCCATTACAGGGCTGGGATTGGTGTCCCCAGGGGTGTTCGGGACAGGGATGACGCTGATGGTGCTGGAGGTCATGAGGAATCCCATGGTACCTGGGATGGGACCCCATGATGGGTCTGGGGAGGGATGCCGTTGCGTATGGCGGGTTTGGGGGTGCCTTGTTGATCCCACAGTGGGCTTGGGTGTGTGTCCCTGGGGGTGACCCAGGAAAGCCTCATGCCCAACCAGTTTGTCCCATCCCATTATGGGGATCCTTCACTGAACAGTCCACTGGGTCGGAGGAGGTTTGACTGAACTATTCAGGGTCACACCCAAACACAAAAACCCCACCCAGCTCTGCACCTTCACCCACTGCCAGCGAGTGCCAGCACCCGTGAAGGACTCACAGTAAGAGTTTACAGAGTAACACTTAATAAAATTGGGACAGGTTAAGGTTCCAGGATTCCCTAATTCAAAGCAATACACTGACAATCTCTAATTCCCAATAAAAGTTGACTCGAGACAATCCTTCAGCACACAGAGTACAGTTCTTATGCAATGGGCCCCTATGGGGCAGAGACAGGTTCAGCCCGGTGAGTGACCTCAGAGGTAACAGAGTGGAGTCTCTCCTTCTCCTCCCCATTTGTAACTCATTTTTATGCTATTTCTTTATATTTAGGTGGAACTTGAGTGACGTTAGTCATCCATCTTACTCAGTGAGGGGTGGTTGTCCCTTAGGGGTGGGTACAACAACGGGTCACAGAATATTCCAAGTTGGAAGGGACCCTGAAGGATCATTAGGTCCAACTCTTAAGCAAATGGCCCCTATTGGGATTGAACCTGTAGCCTTGGCATTATTAGCACCATGTTCTAACCAAG